GTAAACAACGCTGATTACGCAGATTACGCTCATGCGCGCACTTTCCCCTCGAATGTAAACAACGCTGATTACGCAGATTACGCTCATGCGCGCACTTTCCCCTCGAACGTAAACAACGCTGATTACGCAGATTACGCTCATGTTCGCACTTTCCCCTCGAACGTAAACAACGCTGATTACGTCGATTACGTACTGAGGGAACTCTCCAAAATGGCGGAAGACGTAACTCGGGGGAGAAGAATTGTTGAATAAATTATGTTGTTTTTGTTTTCTTTCCGCACAAAAAGTATTCCCGTAGCTTCGCAAAACTGAAGTTGAGCCACTGATGTCACATGGACTGTTTTACCGATGTCCTATACGTTTCTGGACTTGGGAACATTACAGTTGCGGTGCTGTATATGGAGGGTCAGAGAGCTCTCCGATTTAATCAAAAATATCTTAATTTGTGTTCCGAAGATGAACGAAGGCCTTACGAGTTTGGAATGACATGAGGGTGAGTAATTAATGACATCATTTTCATTTTTGGGTGAACTATCCCTTTAAATGATTTGCATTTTTGAACAATAACTTTATGTGAGCATTAGACAACATCAAGGGTAATCTAAATGTAAAAATAAGGTATATACTACTAATAAATTGAAAAAAAAAGTGTTACCATCATGCACCCCACTATAGTCCTTTGATCAAAGAAGAACAGCAGGCTTGCTGATGAAGGGTTCTCCAGTGACTTTGTAAAGTGACACTAGTGAGACGTCAGCTGACACTAGTGAGACTCATCCAAATCTTTCTTCCCGCAGTTCTCAAAAGGGGGTATCAGTGTTTGATCATTGTACTCTGTCAATAACTTCCCATCAGCATTTTCACTTGAATAAGACAAATCTTTAGCTTTTGATGCAGTTAGGATTTAATTAATTGTTTATTTAGATTGCACTTCATATGGGAAAGTAATTGACAATATTTTTTTCCAAATGATACCTGAGAGTCAGTGCCTCAGAGTTGCAAGAGGCCTACAAAGAGAACATTTAACTGTGAGACACAGTGTTGTAAAACAGTGTAATGTATAATGTCAACACAACTGCTTGTGCACTGATGTGTGGCAGCAAGCCGGGGGAATGGTGTTTTATTAGCCTACACAATTAATCAGGGAATCATGTTAGACGGTAAAGGCAGCTGGCAAGTTTATGGCCAGGAGCCAGATTTGCATACAAGCAAAGCAGCAGAATGGCCTGGATGTGTTTACTGCTGTTTAGCATAGTTAGCTTTTTCATTTTTATGTACTTCAGTGTGAAGTGTGCTCAGCACCAACTGCTGGCTAGCAGCTCACAGCACAGTCTGAGCGCTTGAGCATGAATATTAGCAAATAACCCCCGGAAGCCCCAGTGGCCTCAAAGTTTAACAGAAGAGTAATGCAGTTAATAAGGCTGGATGCATCCTGTGAAAATAAATGCTAGGCTGTGTAGTCTGCAAAGAGTGTGGGTGGATCTAGTCGACTTGATGGATAAATACTATGAAGATGCTGTAGAAAGAGAATGGTTGAGAGCAAAATAGAACAGAGAAACAAAAAGGCAATGGTCTGCCAGATTGAGAGAGACAGAAAACAGAAATTAATGAGAATTTTGGATTCAATACATGTTAAAGTAATAGTTCACCCTGAAATGAAAATTGTATTATAATTTACTCATCCTCATGTTGTCCTAAACCTGCATTACCTTCTTTCTATTGCAGAACACAAGGTATTTTGAAGAATGCTGGTTGGTTACTAAACAAAAATAAATAAATAATAATAATAATAATATTAATAATACAGCATCTACTGCATCTTCATAGTATTTATCCATTAAGTCGACTAGATCCACCCACACTCTTTTCAGACATAATGTATCGCATAACCTTGTACTGGTCAAATGCAAATTTTCATTATTTTGCTTGGGTCTGAGGACATCTGAGGACAATATACAAAACTACCAAATTTTGCTATAATGGACATCAACTTGAGATAGTCCCCACTGATATCTTGTAATAATACTACTACTACTACTAATACTACTACTACTACTACTCCTACTAATAATAAATATCACTTTTAATGTCCCACAGAAGGAAGTCAGTCATACATGTTTGCTAAAACATGAGGGTGGGTTAATGAGACCTAATATGGCATAATGTTGATTTCTGCAAAAAAACAAAACTATAAGATACACAGTATTGAAATAAAATAATTGAATCTTGCCCCTTGTTTTCCTAGAAATAAATAAATAAATAAATAAAATACAGGTTACAGTGAAGCACTTCTAATACAATGAAAGTAAATGGGGCCAATTATTGCAGGATTTAAGACCAGAAATGTGACGCATATACTATATGCATTATATTTTATATAAGAAAATTATTATTTTGTTAAAATGTATGTAAAATTTGCATTGTAAAGTTGTTGTTCTCTCTCTCTCTCCCTCTCTGTTTAAGGAAAAAGTAATTTAATAATTTTTGTTATCATTATGCCACAAGTGCTGTCGATTGCAGAACCCAGAATATTCTTGAGCTAAACAGCGTGAGACTGCTGGTGTTTGTATAAAATAAATCTGTGGGATCTGTCACATGCTTAGCCTAATATAAAAGAGAACAAACCAAAACACACTTTCACTGAGGGAGTTAAATTTCCATCAACGCACATGATCCCATCACAATGAGATAAACCTCAAAAGAGCTAATTTCAGAGCAATTTCTGTCAGGCTCTGATGTGTGAGCTTTAAAAGTTAAACTTTAAATATTATGCTAATATGCAACGGGATTATCTGTTGCAAACGGTGTTTTGACAAGCTTGTCATGATCTCTTTCTTGCCTGTCATGAAAACGGTAGACAGCAGAAATCCTGATACGGAGGGTGGAAGATTGGCTTCCTTGCATATTAAAAATGAACGAGAGGTGGCGCTGTTGCACTGAAAACCTATAATTAGAATCTCTAAGCATGTTGCGGAGGACAAGTTGACACACACAAGCGAAGGTCTCCCAACAAAGCGAAGGTCTCCCAACAAGTTAGCCGAAGCTGGAACCAAAGACCGTTTCGTTGGAGAGAACAGTCCTGAAAATTACTGCTGCTACAGTGCGCTACACGACATTTCCGGGTTTTTCATGGACATTTTATTTTAGCGCTTCATTTAAATCAAGCTGAAAATGAAAAGCTCTGTGTTGTGGAGGACATACAGAAGATTAAAGGTCAAAAGTGCTGATTATAAAAAAAAAAATTCCAGCTCTTTGACCGATCAATCTAACATGCGTGAAGAACGTGATCTTCTGCTCTCCACTCCTTATATCGTGAGCATGTTTGTGTACACCAAACTAGAGCACGTTATGCATTAACTGGCATCTGCAGCGATGTTAATGTTTCTGGCAGCAGTCAGATTATTTCTCTCTCGTCCTGGATGCAGCAGGTAGGCCACGGCAGACCGACCGTTTTAGAAGAAAATGTATTTAGTCTGTACTCAAACCGTATCGAATAGGCTAGTTTAGCATTTCAATAGCCTATTTAGGAATGCAAAAATTGGATTATAGCCTATAGGTTGCAGAGAGGGTGCACGCTCGGCCATTGCACTCAGTAATGTGAGTTATATTATTTGATAGACTCTCATAATGTTAGTGACTACCATTCAGTAGCACACATTAACTTTTTAAAGCTTCTAGCAGTATTGTAATTATTTACTGAAACTATAAGTGTATATAAAAATTATAATATAAATATTAAATGAAAAACTTAAAAACAAAAATTGGATATGTTGGCAATATGTAACAGATTAAAATAAGTATGAGCTGAAGTACTAAAGTACAATAATAATAATAAAAAAATAAACAAAAACTTGTGAAGTAAACTTAAAAATAATAACAAAAATATAATTTAAATTCTAATATATATTCTTACACACACATAAGGAATAATTGATGACTGGCCATTGACGTTGAATTATTAGAAAAATAATGCATTATTTGTCTAATAATTCAACGGCCTGATTGGTCAGCCAATCAGATTCAAGCATTCAACGGCCCCCGTTGTATAAATATGTATATATTATGAAGTTAAACATTTTGAAGTACACAGTGTTGTTTATTTGTTTTCAATTTTTGTTACCTTCCTTCTCTTTCAGGGTATACAATGAAATCCCTTCCATGGATCCGTTGGACCCTTGGCCTGCTGCTTCTCTGTACTGCTGATGCAGACAGTGGTAGAAAACCTAATTTTGTCTTTATGATGGTGGACGATTTAGGAATTGGAGACCTTGGATGCTACGGAAACACAACACTGAGGTTTGTTCATATAATTGAGTTTATTGCTTTTATTCAGAGTTCTTCCAGGAAATCCATACAAACTGTCCATTTATGACTTGTGGATTGTATTAGTTGTTACATGTATGTACTCTGCATGTGAAATAATGTACAGTTAGGCCAGCACTGTCAGAAGATGCTGTGTAAGAACGATTCAAGATCATTGAATTTGACTTGCATTGGATTTTCTTTTTGATGGGTTCTTGTACAGTATGTTTCAAAGATGAATAAAGTTTGTATGGAAGCTTGTTTCTGCCACGGTATAAAAAAAATAAAAAGATAATTGCATCTTTTTATCTCAGTTCTTTCTTCACTTTTTTTTTCTTGCAATTCTGAGAAAAAAATAAGTCTGAATTGTGAGATATAAACTCTTAGAATAGTTAGATTAAAAGTCGAAATTACATTTCCTGATGAAAAACAAAACTGAATTGTGAGATGAAAACTTCCATACATTTGGAACCCAGGTGAATAGACATCTCTCTCACAGACATAATGAGACTGTGTTGTATTGTGGTTGTCCTGGCCCGCAGGACGCCTAACATTGACAGACTGGCCCTGGAAGGGGTGAAACTGACCCAACACACAGCTGCTGCACCGCTCTGCACTCCCAGCAGGGCAGCCTTCCTCACAGGCAGATACCCGATTCGATCAGGTCAGTGCTGGAGATACTGCACATAGAGTTCTGAAATAAGCGAAATGTGCTGTTTTTAAAGCATTGCTGTGACTTAGTGTTAAAGTGTTAAAAACACTTTGTATGAGAGATTAATAATAATAATAATATATATTACAATAATAATGATAATAATGTAATTATAATATTATTATTAGTACTAAGTACTAGTACTTCAGTGGATTCATTGTTTATTTTTTAAGTCATTTATACAGCATGTTCATAAAAAAATGGTCAGTTTGTCTTTTTAACATTGGTGTAGGTTTCTCACTTCATGTGTACA